GAAGAAAAGACATTTAAGAGAGAGAGAGAAGGTCAGGAGGGAGGGAGTAATACAACATAATAAAGTAAAATATTAATAAATCAAATAATATAAATAGGTTGAAGTTAAACAATCAAACATAAAATAACAAAAATAAAAATATTATTTTAAAAATTATTAATTTAAAAATCGACTAAACTTCCACTTCAAACTAATAAATATTAACAAAACTTAGTAAAAATTAAAAAATAATAAAAATAAAACTTAATAATAAAAATTTAAATAAAATTCCACTAATAAAATAAAAAAAACATTTCAATTCCACTTTAAAATCAAACTTAATAAACACTAGTAAAAAGAAGAAGTTTAAATACAAAAAATTTTAATTGATAGTTTTAATAATATTATGATTTAAATATGGGTTTGATATAATATTGTGCATAGTACCCATATTACATAAGAGACTTATATAAAATATAAGACCCATTAAAAATTATATAAAAATAAAAAATTAATGGAATTTTAAGTGTAGAATCCATTTTATCACTTATACAAAGAAGACAAGCTAAACAGATTTGTGTTTACCCATTTCTGAAAATGGTTCCGGTTTGTCTAAAAACCCGTTACGTGTGGTACATGACATACAACAACAACAACAACAACAACAACAACAACACAAATATTAAAATTTAGCAAGTTTTTATCTAGCAACTATTATAAGTAAATAAATTAATAAAAATTAGTATTAATTTGTAGTTAGGGATGACCATTTATAAAAATTAGTATAAGTAATATTAATAGGATAATTAAAATTGATAATAAAAAGTAAAAAAATTAAAAAATAATAATAAAATAACCATTTATTATAAATATAAAATGATAGTTATATTTATGGTTATAAAAATCAACATAAGCATTTATCCATTTTCTCATTTTTTATATTCTTCTTATTTTCTTTTGTTTTAAAAATATAAAATAATAATTATTGTCATTAACAAAGTTATATATCATTAATATTTAAAGTTGCACACTATTACCAATATATTATATTATTAGAGAGAGCATTTGTATTATTAAAGAGAGAGAGAGGGGGTGATGTTAGGACGTTTGGGTATTTTAGGTCCCCATTAAGGACTAAAGAACTCATGATACCAAAGCCCTAATAATAATAAAATAATAAATATTATTAAATTAATAATAAGATAATAATAAAATATTTCTAAAATAATAATACTGAACAAAGATATTAATTATTAAATATAATAATAATAATAATAATGTATAAGTAAAATAATTATGTAACATATTTTAGGGTAGGAAAAAATAATTTTAGTTATAATAATATTTCTACTTACTAAGTGTTAAATACATAATAAAATAAAATATCAATATTAACAATTAAATAATATTAAGTATAACTAAAAAATTAATATAAAATATTCATTATAAATACTAAGACACTAATTATTAAAGACCAATAAAATAATTATGTATACATATATATTATGTATATATATTATATGTAAAATGAACCAAACAATCGCAATCAAAATCCAATAATTATGTATACATATATATTATGTATAACTATATAAAGTTTATAGTTGATAAATTTAATATTCTATATTTATATATGTTTATTATACATATATACTTTAAAAAAAATTGGTTTTTTTTAACTTTATTAAATTTTTGTCATTTTAAACACAATAAAATGGTTGCAGATTAAATGCGAAGATGATCCAAAACCCAACATAATACTCATATGTGAATGTAGATCTAGATTTCATAATTGAATGCAGACACAGATTCAATTGGTTTTGATCTAAATCCAAACCATTTACAATCCTTTCTATCTACATTGTGTGGGGTTGGTGTAAATCTGAGTTAGACCTAACTCATAAGAAAATAGTTGCTTGAGTCTGAAAATTTGTTGGTTTAATCAAGTTTATGCTAAGTTATAAATGAGCATCCCTAAGTAGTAGTCTTAAGACATTTATAGTTAGGTCATTATTAGGTTTAATATTTTAATTAAATTTTATAGTTTTTACATGGTACGCAAGTGGTTTATATGATGATGATGGTGGTGGTGATGATGATGATGATTATTATTATTATTATTATTGTTGTTGTTGTTGTTGTTGTTGTTGTTGTTGTTGTTGTTATTATTATTACTGTTATTATTTTATGAACTACTAATTTTTATTATTTTCTTAATTTTTAATAGTTTCTAGATAAAAACTTGCTAAAATTTAATCTTATTTATTAGGTCTCAAATTACATTTTTATGACAATTAACCAAGTAATATGATTCAAATGTGAATAGGTATGGCAATGTTCCCCATTCCATTGGGTACTCAATTTCCCTGACCCAATGGGGCTGGGGATGAAAATTGCCTTGGTAGGGATGGAGATTGATGATGATGCCCAACTAAGGATGGGAACAAGGATTTCTTTCATAGTTAAGACTCTGGATCTCTTGCCCATATCCACCCACAATACATATGCATTGGGAACATCTCTCCATGCATAATATTATGTAGGAGGATGAGATGTTCTCCATGTGTGGCTTGAGAGTTATGTGGGAATACATGGGCAAAAGAGTTCTTGTGGGTAGGAGATTTGGACTTATGTCTTAAACCTTAAGCTTGGACTTAGATTAATTTAATTATGACTAAAAATGTTAATCTATAGATTACATTAATTAGAACATTTAATGATTGATAAAATAAAATAAATAAAATAAAACACTAATGAATAATATGAAAAAATAATTATTTATTACTAAAATTATTAATATAATTATTAGTTTCCATTGGTTTACTTTTCCTTGATAAATCCCGTGCAACACATAGGTCCCCGCTAGTTTACAATAAGATCGGATCATCCTGACCTTAGCTATTCATGAACCTAAACAGCTAAACCTAACATATGAGGATAAAATTGGTAATTTTGATCCCAACCCACCTGAATTGGATCTCATGCCAACAAAACACGTTTCAATACCTACTAACATGATATGATAGCACACATCTCACCATGAAAAGTGACCCGCATAAAAATGGGACCCATTATATATGAAATGTGTGATGTCACATCATATAATATAAGGCTCTGTTTGGTTTGTGGGAGATTTGAATGGGATGGGATGGGAAAGTGTAAAAATTTAACTTTCCGTTGTTTGGTTTTATATATGGTAAAATAATAGGAAAAGCACTATCACAACCTAGTTTTTCGCCGGAAGAAGAAGAAGAAGAAGGTGAGGGAGGAAGACAGGAAGAATAGGAAGAAGAAGAGAGAAGAGGAAGATGGAGGGAGAGATAGAGAATAGGGAAGGTAGTAGATCGTTGCTGTCTGGTTCTCTTTCCACCGCCACCTTCATTGTCACTGCCTCTTTTGTTCGATGATAGCATATCGTCGTTGCCTGGTTCTCTTGCCACCACCACCTCCTTTGTCGCTGCCTCTTCTGTTCGATAGTAGCAGACCGTCGCTACCCGGTTCTCTTGCCACCGTCACCTCCTCTTTTCGAACGGGGAAGGCAATGAATAGTGGTTCCTTGCCAGTATTTGGAGAAGAAAACCGTGGACAATAGATCGGGTCACACTATTTGTTGTCGTTTGCCTTCATCGCTGGAAGGCAATGAATAATGGTTTCCCGATTTTTTCTACTAGGGTCGCACTGTTTTGGTGCGACCTCGATTCTACAATTTTGGAATCTCACATCCCACCTTTTCTGCATCCTCATTCCACAAACCAAGCGGAGGCTAAGGTGTTGGAATGTGTTTTGTTGGCAAGATATCCATATTCAATCGACCCACCCACTTGAAAACCCATTCATACCTAGAGGTGTAAATCGGGCCATGCCGGCACGATCCGACACAATCATGCGGGCCATGCTGGGCCTAGAGTTTTAGGTCCATGGGCCGACATGACACAACACGACCGAGCGGGCCATGCCACCCATGGCCTAGCACGGCCTAACATGGTCCGTATATATTATATATCCAGTTATACATATTATATATATATATATATAATATTATATAAATTATAATTATATAATAATATATAGTATATAATATATTTTTTTTAATTTTATTATTGTATATATAAGCAATTGTATATTCAAAATTAAAATTTAATTTTTTGTCAATTTTTTTAAATAAATAGTTGTGGCCCGATGCATGGCCCGACCTAGCCTAATGCTCGGCCCATGGGCTAGCCTACCCTGCGGCATGGCACGGGGCCCGCACGGGCCTAGGCTGTGGGCCGTGCCAGGCCAACCCCCAAAATTTCACCGGAAAGGGCAGCACGACCCGTAATGGTCCGCGGGCCAGGCACCACCCACTTTACACCTCTATCCACCCATCAATTTTAGTGGCACGTCAATATGAATCAAGTGACCCATTTAAGGGTAGGGAAAAGGAGACCGAATATGCTACTCACATAGGGCGTTTCACACCAACCTCACACGCACATCCTACCATGCATTGGGAACATCTCCCGTACTTATAAATTAATATTCATGAGAGATGTTCCCAATGCATGGGAAGTTCCTGTGAAGTGCCCATGTGTGTGAAGTAGATCCCGTTCCAGGGAGAAGGGTCAAGGTGGGGTTGGGATGGTCAATTAGGTTGAAGGTTCAAAGGTTTGTTTTGCTTTTGAATAGGGGTGGCAACGAGTCGAGCTCTTCACGAGCTGCTCTAGCTCGGCTCGGCTCAGTTTCAACCAAACTTTTAAGCGAGCTCAAGCCCAATTTAAAGGCTTGATTAATAAAATAAAATTATAGAAAATAATATATATAATAAAAATATTATAATTCTTAATTTTTTAAATATCAAATAAAAAATATTTCTTATATATAATTTTTATTTTTATAAAATATTTTTTCTTAAATCGAACTCGAGCCGAGCCGAAATCGAGCTTACGAGTTTTTGACTCGAACCGAGCTCGAACTCAATATTCTACCTCGAACTGAGCTCGAGCTCGAGCCTTATACAACCTCGGTCGGCTCGGCTCGAATCCACCCGTAGTTTCGAAAGTCGGAAGTCGGAACTTCGAACTTCGAAGGTTTCCCCGCCATACTCAGTGACAGTAAGTTAGACGTAGGGTTTGAAGGTTTCTCTCCAATCTTTCACCTCCGCCGTTCTTAGCGAAGGTAGCTGCTCAAAGCCGAAGGTTATTCTCTGCAAACGTTTGGTGTTTCTCTATTAGAAGGTTTCATCCCAGACGTTGCTCCGTCGTGTCAGACATCGCTTCGCCTCTCCGTCGCTTCAGATGTCGTTTGATGTTGCTCTGTTCATTCTCCCTTTTGGATCAACAGAAGAGGTAATCCAGAGTTCTTCTGTCTGGTTCAGATTCTTTAATCTATTCTTTTTTAAAATTAAGAACCTCAGACATTATACTGTAGATTGTTTCTACTGGTGATTCCTTATTTCTTTTCCTTTTCCACTGGAGTTTCATATATTCGTATTCCACTTCAAAAGATGGATTCATGTTCCATAACTTATCAAGATAAGCAAAAATTGTCCCTATTTTGTTGTTAAACTTTTCCAATTTCTTCTGTTTTTTCTGAATTTAATTTTTTGTTATTCACTGTGCTCTGTTTTATATTTATTCAAATATGTTTTTATTTGCATAAAAAATAAGGAAAACAGTATCATTTGGTCTGAACTTTGAGCTCTTCTCTGTAAATAGATGGCAAAGGGATGTAACATCATCCAGGTAAAAGAAAGGTAATTGTTCTTTGCGTAATTACTGTAACTTGTCGATTCCTTCCGAAATATGTAGTGTTAATCCTAGGGAACCTTTAATTGGTTTTACCAATTGTGATGCACTAGGGCCTTCTAGTATCGGAATTTCTGATTACCTTATTTAATTTTCTGCTAACCTATTTTGATGTAAATGCAATTTGAATTGAACTTATACATGCATTTTAAATTGTTGATGCATCAAAAGTCAGTTAAAAGACTCAAAGCTTGTTGATGCTTTCTTTGTCATCCCCTTATAGGTTTCCGCTGAATCTTCCTGATTCTCCTCTGCTATTCTACAATCACCTAGGTGTAACAGAAAACATCTCATTTTTGTTTTTGATAAGTAGGTGTTATATCACAGAACACAACCCTAGGATATAATATTATCTACTAATAATGCTTGATTTAAAGTGGTATTGACAGTTAGGCAATGTGGTGAACTACTACCTTGAAACTCTATATTAAGGAAAAGATGAAGGTCATATTTTGTTTAAAATTTCTGTATTTTCTCCAATCATTCTTTAATTTTGTGTAATTTTCTGCATTTTTGCAGTTTTCTACAAAATTTCTGCATTTTTCAGAAAATTTGCAAATTTTTCAGAAACTTTGCAATTTTTTCTATAAATTTTCCGCATCTTTCTGCAAAATTACTGCATTTTCTACAAGATTTCTGCAACTTCTGGGCATATGGTTTGACCTGACCTGTATCTGCCACATGGTAGTCATGAAAAAGAATGAATAATTCATTTTTGGGTATATGGGTTGACCTGACCTGGTTGTGGCATTTGATGGAGAAGCATATTAAAAATAAACAAGCATTTATATTCGATGAGGGTGAATACTGGTGGGTGAGGGTGAGGGTGAGGGTGGGTCAATATGGGTGCACACCCACACCCAACCCAACCCAACCCACCCATTTGCCACCCCTAATTTGACCATTGCTGCATGAAACCCTCATCCGACCATTAGTGGTGCCGCATCACTGCAATCATTAGAGAACCAGAAGAGCACAAGATAGAGGGAGGCATACTAGAACATCCACGTTATCTCCATTCTTTGCTTTACCATCAGTGATCTACTCTATTCTTTAATTTACTGTTGGGAAGGAAGCACACATAGAGGAAAACACCGGTTTATCTCCATTCTTGCTCATTCTCACTCAATTCTTGTCTTGGTTTTTGGCAAAGTGATTGGTTTGCAGCAAACTTTGTTCATTCTACCACTTCTTGCTTATTCTATAATTTCATTCTTTTCCAGAGCAAGAGTGAACAAGACCAAATATGCTTGTTGTCAGGGTTTGGTTTTTGCCCAAAATATAATCTCTGTTGAATTGATCTTTATCTTATTTTCTGTTTTCAGGAAACCTGTGTTACTAGTTAGGGTTTTCTTATTGACAGGTGCTCCACTAATTATTTCTGGGTGGCTTGGTGTATTTGCTGCTTGGTCTCTTCTCTGTTTCATGCTAAAACATTGAGCAAGTGAGGAAGCCAATTTGAAAAAAGGACTTGAATACTTTTGTAAACAACCCCCTCCTGCTTTCTCTCTCTAACACATTTTTGATAATGGAATTCGTAAGCCCTGAAGGTCTTCGCTTAGATGGCCGTCGTCCTATGGAAGTAAGCTTCTATGTGTGTGTGTGTGTGTGTGTTTGTAGATAAATATAGTTTTTCTTGTTTCTCTGTTCAAAATTTAAGCTTCAATTTGAAATTGCAGATGAGGCAGATCCGTGCACAGATTGGTGTTGTGGCTAAGGCAGATGGGTATTTTGTCATTACCTAATTATTCTTTTCTTTGGAAGATACAGATCTTTTCTCTTGAATCTACTGTGCATTTAAACTATTAAATATAATTTAAGATGTATATTATATATATATATATAAACATATATATATTGTTTATCTATTCTGAGAGTTGAGAAACTAAGTAGGTGTGAATAATGCCTGTCTTTTTTTGCAGTTCTGCTTCATTTGAGATGGGGAATACTAAAGTTATAGCTGCAGTATATGGCCCTAGAGAGGTACAACTCTTTATTTTTTCTTTAATTTTCTTTGTAAATGATGTGGGAACTGTTGAGGATTTATGTTATGTTCTCTTGTTCGAATTTTATCAAGATTTTATGAATTGTCCATGCCCCACGGATGCAAGGGAAGGAATTTGAAAAATGACATTTAATTATCACTTGCTAGATGTTATTCATATGGCAGAGCATAGAAGAGAAATATTTAAAAGTAAAATAACTTAACGAAGCTATCATAATTCCCAATACCATATGAAGTAGAAAAATGAGTTTTAATGTTTTGGTTAAGTCATTTCCATGAATTTTAATTGTTTGCAGTTGGTAGTAAGTAGTAACCTTTATTGAAACTCAGCAGCAACTTGACTAAGGAATATTACTTTTCAATTTTGTTGAGTTTCACATAGTGAAGTGAAGCTTTCCATCTTTGATACAATTCTATTTGCACTGTTACAGTGCTTGATCCATAAACTATGTTTTAACTGTTTGAATTACATATAATTCAACATGATATTGCTCAACTTAGTATTTCTGTTGTGTAAAAGAAATGGTATGACTTGTATACCATTTGATGAGCATGAGAATACATTTCATTAGCTGGTGATTAGGGCAAAAAGGAGACCCTTAACCTGGTCCATAAGTCGACAAGGTTTTAAGCGAACTATTTCTCAAAGGCATGCCTTGGTCTTTTAGGCAAATGGTTTTAGGAGTTTGGCACCAAGGGAGTAGCCTGTGGAAGAGAGTCATTCAAGCAAATTATATCATAAGAAATGAGGACTGGGATCTTGAAGAAGCAAATCAATCTTATGGCTGCTTGGTGTGGAAGGGAATTGAAAAAAGCTACAGATTTTTTTAGCAAAGGAGTTAAGATTGAAATGGGAAGGGGAGCCAAAGTCAAGTTCTGGAAAGATATGTGGTGTGGCCATCATTGCCTAATGGGTGATTTCCCAGAGCTTTTTGCAATTGCAGCTGATAAAGATGCAGAAGTAGCCACTATCTGCAGTCCTCAAATGGTGAGTGTGTATGGATTCCCCTTTTTAGAAAAGATTTGAATGATTGGGAGTTAGAACCTTTCAGAGGTCTGCTTCAGAGATTCTAGAGCTTGCAAATTGACACAACATTAGAAGATAGAAGACTGGCTGGAGGAAAAATCTGGGCAATTTACTGTAAAATCCTTATACAACAAATTAACCTAGGAAAAGGAGCAGGATTTTCCTATGGTCATAATCTGGTGCAAATATATTCCCTCAAAGGTGGCTTTCTTTGACTGGTCTTCCTATCTGAATAAGTTCCTGACTAAGGACAACCTGTTAATTATAGGAATGGCATTTGATTCAGGCAGAATGTGTCCTATGCACCAGGGTGGAAGGGTCTGTCAATCATTTTCTATAGCATTGTAATTTCACTTAATACACTTGGGTGAGAGTTTTTAAGATCTTTGATCTTAAGGGATCCTTTCCAGCATCTATTGAAGACTTTTTGAAAGGTTGCAGACCAAAGGTCTGAGTAAGAAAGGAAAAGGAATTTGGCAAATGATTCCAGGAACAGTGTTCTGGGTTGTATGGCAGGAAAGGAACTCAAGGGTTTTTCAGAACGAAGTTTGTCAATCTGAGACAGTGTGGCAGAAAGTATTGAGCAATCTGTTCTCTTGGTCAATGGCTCAATTTCTTTTGGATAGATAAAACTATTACTCTCATTTTTGATTTTGAAAATCCTTTTGTAAACACAGAAGGGATAGTGGTCTGATTTTCTTTTTGTTTTCTCTCCGCTGTACATCCTCTGGTTGTAGTTTTTTTTATTTTTTTATTTTCTAATGAAATCATACTTTGTCTCTTCTCAAAAATATTTCAAATATGCTGCTTTGATGAACTTTTTCTTGTTACACGCTATGAGCCTATTATATAGTCCAAGTGTGTTCCTGCAACTTCAAGAACTTCTATAAACTGACAAAGAATAATGGAGTCAAATAGTAAAAGTTGGATTTTGTTTTTGAATTTTTATGTATTTTTTTTAGTTGATAGGGTATTTCTATGATTTTGTATGTTGTAATAGTTCAGTTATATTTAAAATGTCAAAGTCATTGGTTAAGCGCTTTAGTAGTTATTTAGTTTTCTTTGTATTAGAGTATGAGAGGCAAAATCATAATTTTGGGTTTTCTTAATATAGGAGGGATTTTGTCTAGTCATGTGTTTTCTCTCTTCTTTCTCATCATCTTCTCCCTGGTTCTGGAAACAGTATTGCAACTATCAACAGCTTATAAAAATTCTTCCTCTAACATTCTACATCATTAAAGGACTGAAGTTGATCCATATTACATTTTTCTTTAGTTTACATTTGAAACTGAAAATTTGCCAAAAGCCCCCAGTAGATCATTATTGCTTTTGATCTTACTAAATTTATTGCCAAAACTCCATTTAAAGCCTTAGTTTCCAGAATTTGGGCATTTTCTGTTATGGGCCCGGGCGTAGGATCTCGTCACGGGTCAGTCCACGGGGAGAACCTCTTGCTTCCCCTTGCGCCTTCCCTTGCGTGCAAACCCTATTGTGGAAAAACCGAATGGGTGATTTGTCCAAGAGACCACCCGAACTCTCCTCATTCTTCTCTTAACTGGAAACTGAATGCTTTATTCCCAATTCATAGCTCCTTAATAGGAGATTACAAGAGGAGACTCCTTATTCCATTCGACTAAGCTAGGACAATCCAACTTTAAATCAAACTCCTACTTCTAACAGACTTCTAACAGAACTGAGTTCCTATCTCTAATAGATAAGTAAGAACAGAACTGGATAATAGATAAGTAAGAACAGAACTGGATAAAGTAAACTAATGGCGAGCTGGCAAGATGAGCTGACGTGGCAAGATAAGCTGCTGTGTGGGCCCCCCTCACTGCTGCTGCCGGCGGCGGTATGTCCTTCYCACGAATGCATCCATAACATCGCACCCCTCCTGGGCAACGAGCTTGTCCTCAAGCTCGAGATCTGGATAGGCGTTGTGAAGATCAGACCAGGGAATCCAGGTGGCCTCAACTGATGGTAGTTCGTCCCACTCCACTAGCACTTCTAAGGTTCCCCGATTGACGCGGGACCGGACAAGAGCCCGAGGTTGGAGAATGGGTCTGCCGTCCTTTAAGGGTGGCAGGGGAGGTATCTTCTCCGGAGGAGTCCCTGTAAATGGCTTGAGTAAGGAAACATGGAAGGTGTCATGGAGTTTGCTGTGGTCTGGTAGCTCGAGTTGATATGCAACCTTCCCAATCCGCCGTAAAATCTTGAAGGGCCCGTAGAATTTGGGGGCCAGTTTAGGGAAAGCTCTGTTCCTGAGGGAGTGCTGCCGATAGGGTTGGAGCTTCAGCCATACGAATTGTCCGGGTTCAAAGGTTACTTCTCTGTGGTGCTGATCGTAGGTGTTCTTCATGCGTGCCTGGGCTTGCTGTAGGCGTAGGGAGACTTCGGCGAGGAGAGCATCGTGGTCCTGCAGGCCTCGATCCACTTCTTCCAACCGTGTTGAACCCAGTTCATAAGACAATAGATGGGGAGGGTCCCGACCATAAACAACCCGGAAGGGAGTCATGCCAAGAGAGGAGTGATAAGATGTGTTGTAACAGTATTCAGCCCACGGGAGGTACTCCACCCAACGCCGTGGCTGGTCTCCCACAAAACAATGGAGGTACATCTCTATTGTTCGATTCACCACCTCCGTTTGGCCGTCAGTCTACGGATGGTAGGTGGAGGAGAAGGCTAGGGCCGTTCCCTGCAGTCGAAATAGCTCCTTCCAGAAGGTGCTGGTAAAAACCGAGTCCTTGTCATTGACGATGGATTCGGGTAACCCATGTGTTATAATTCAGGTCTGCCTTAGAGTTCGGCCTGACTGAGTTCAGTTCTGTAGAAGAAGAAAAAGTGATAGAGAAAGAGAGAAGAGAGAATTCTGGTTCGAACTGGAAGAGTCAACTTAGCTTCTCCCAGTCGACCAGTAAGTATTTATATTATTATTAAAACATGACTGAAAAGACCTATGTGCCCTTACTTAAGTTAAGAGCACATGTTTCAACACAACATTACAGATCAACAACATCAATCAAGGTATAAAGACAGAAATGCCCCTACGCTAACACCATGCAATCGGAAAATATGGGTGAAGAAGGCGTGGGCGACTGAGACTGCGCTATATGGGTGGGATAAGGGAAGGAAATAAGCATACTTGGAAAAGTGGTCCACCACCACGAATAAGACCGATTTCCCACCAACCTTGGGTAGGCCCTCAATGAAATCCATGGAAATATCGACCCAGATCTGAGTTGGAAGTGAAAGCGGTTGGAGAAGGCCTGCTGGGTGCAAGTTTTCCCACTTTTGTTGCTGGCACATCGAGCAATTCTGAATGAAGTCCCGCACCGAAGCCCTCATGCCCTGCCAGTGGAAATCGACGTGGATGCGGTGTAATGTTTTCTGGACACCTTCATGCGTGGAGTTGTGTATGCTGGAGATGACAAAGGGAATTAAGGGACAGTCGGCTGGGAGATATATCCGTCCCTTGTAGAGTGCTAACCTGTCGTGCATGGACCAGTTTGGGTTGGTCGTGCTGGACTGTATCTTCTGGACAAGATCATTCCATTCTGGTGATTGAGGTAGCGTGTTCCGGATGTCTTCCAGCAGGGTGGCTCGGGGTTGGGAGATCGCATGGAGGAGCATACTGTCTTCTTCTGCTTGGTGAGACAAGGCATCTGCTGCACGGTTCAAGGTTCCTGCCTTGCATTCTACCCGGAAATCGAAACCCAGTAGTTTGCTGACCCAATGCTGTTGCGGCGAAGTGGTAAGCCGTTGTTCCAACAGATGTTTGAGGCTGTAGTGGTTCGTCTTGACGACGAAGGACCTCCCCCATAAGTATGGCCTCCAGTGCTGTATTGCCTTAGCCAGCCCAATCAGTTCCCGTTCGTAGGCAGGTAATTTAAGGTGGCGGTTAGCTAGCTTGCGGCTGAAGAAGGCGACCGGATGTCCTTGCTGCTGTAGTATGGCGCCGATGCCAGTGTCGGATGCATCGCATTCGACTGTGAACTCGAGCTCAAAGTTTGGCAACTGTAGAACCGGGGTGGAGGAGAGGGCTTCTCTTAAACTTGCAAAGGCTGCATCGGCTGTATGATCCCAGTGGAAGGCATTCTTCTTGAGCAGATTGGTTAGTGGTGCCGCCAAAAGTCCGTAATTTTGTACGAACTTGCGTTAGTAACCCGTCAACCCTAGGAATCCGCGAAGAGCTTTGGCGGATTGCGGCTTGGGCCATTCTTTGATCGCCTGAATCTTGGACTCATCCACAGTGACCCCTTGCCCGCTGATCACATGTCCTAAGTAAAGGACCCGACGTTCCCCAAAGGAGCATTTGGATTGCTTAAGGAAGAGTTGGTGTTGTTGCAGGAGTTCAAAAACGATCCGTAGATGCTGCACATGTTCCACCCACGACTTGCTATAGACTAGGATGTCGTCAAAGAATACCAAGACAAATCTGCGGAGGTGGGCGTGGAACACCTCGTTCATCAGGGACTGGAACGTGGAAGGAGCGTTGCTGAGGCCGAATGGCATAACTAGGAATTTGAAATGGCCATGGTGTGTTCTGAAGGCCGTTTTCTCTATATCTTCTGGAGTCATCCGGACCTGGAAGTAACCTGACCGGAGGTCTAGTTTTGAGAAGTGTTGGGCGCCATGGAGTTCGTCCAATAGCTCATCTACGATGGGGATCGGAAATTTATCCTTGACCGTCTTGCTGTTAAGCTCTCTGTAGTCCACACAAAACCTCTAAGTCCCGTCCTGCTTGGGTACCAATAGAACCGGAGAGGAAAAAGGGGAGCGGCTGGGACGGATGATCCCTTGCTGTAACATATCCACACACTACCTCTCTATTTCATCCTTTTGTCGGTGTGGGTAGCGGTAGGGTCGGACGACGACGGGATCCGATCCGGCAATCAGAGGGATCCGATGATCGCAGGCTTTGGAAGGTGGAAGCCCCTTGGGTTCATGGAATACTGCAGAAAAATCCGTGAGGAGCCTCTGCATATCTGTGGTGCACAAGTTCTCACCTTGAAGTGTATTCAACCGCGTCTTTGCTCTTATCCTGGTTCCCTGCCATGTAATTGGTTTTCTGTTCAGCTGGAATGTCATTGTCAGGGCGCTGAAATCCCATAGGATGGGCCCAAGAGTGATCAGCCATTTGACTCCCAGGACGATGTCGAATTCATCCAAGGAGAGCACGAATAAATCAGCAAGGAAAGATTCTGATCCGACCTGAATCTTGGTGTCCTTGCAGATTCTAGGGCTGTGAACTCTTTCCCCGTTTGCCACGGCTACTTGTAACTGCGGCCTGATTTCCATCGGTAGTTCTAACTGGCGGGCAGCCTGTTCATTGACAAAGTTGTGGGTGCTGCTGGAGTCTACAAGAATGCGTACTGGTTTCCCTGCTACCAGCGCCCTTAGTTGCATGGTTTGTGAGGTTTTGATCCCCGTGATTGCATGGAGGGAGATCTCGGGGTCTGATGCTGCAGGTTCCTCCTCGTCCTCTTCGGGTTCGTCTACTAGAAGACAGAATAGCTTCTTGCACCTGTGCTCGGAGGAGTACAGATCATCGCAGTTGAAACACTGCCCCTTGCGCGCCGTTCTGCCATCTTGACTCGGGATAGTCGTCTAATAGGGGGTGCTGTCCTGCTACTCCCTATACTTGATGCCGATCTAGAAGGATTACCGGTAGGAAGCCTCGGTTCCCTACTGGCGGTTGAAGAAGGAGGCACTCCTGCTGCCTTTGAAGGAGTCCAGGTCGTTGTTGGCCGACCTGCACTGAGGGTTCCGTGTGTGAGCTGCAGCTTCCGTTCGAAGGTGCGTGCGAGGTTCATTGCTGTGACCAGGTTGGGAGGGTGTTGCATCTCCACATCCACCCTTAGGGGTTCTGCTAGCCCCGCGGTGAACATATCGACTTGCTGATCTGCGCAAACCGAGGTTGCTTTGGCGAGAAGGGTTTGGAACTGACGTTGGTATTCTGCCACGGTTCCAGTTTGCTTGAGGTTGATTAACTCGCCCAACGGGTTGCTTGTCAACGGGGGTCCAAACCTGAGGAGGCAATATGATTTAAATTGCTCCCAACTGAGCCCGGGTTCTTCCTGCTCCAGTCGGTAGAACCAGAGCTGTGCCTCTTCCGATAGGTGGAAGGCGGCCAGACTGACCTTATCTTTGTCATCAGTGCGTTGATTACGGAAGAACTGTTCGCAGCGATACAACCATCCTAACGGGTCTCCGGTGCCGTTGTAAGACGGGAATTCCAGCCAGCTATACTTGGGAATAACTGCGGCTGTCGGGGTAGCGATCTGCTGTTCGCTGGACGTCTCTGCCCAGTCCGGACGACGACTGTTGGTGGTGGCGGTTCCCTCAGAACTTCTTTCTTTGTTGGAGAAGAACGCTTCTAGCAGGCGTCGCAGCTCCCGGACATCATCCTTGACTTCACGAACCTCCATGCCGGTTTCTGCGAGCCTATGCTCCAGTTCGTGGACCCTGGAAGACAACAACTCCTGTTCCCCCATGACGGTAGGCTCTGATACCAGAATGTTATGGGCCCGGGCGTAGGATCTCGTCACGGGTCGGTCAACGGGGAGAACCTCTTGCTTCCCCTTGCGCCTTCCCTTGCGTGTAGACCCTATTGTGGAAAAACTGAATGGGTGATTTGTCCAAGAGACCACCCGAACTCTCCTCACTCTTCTCTTAACTGGAAACTGATGCTTTATTCCCAATTCACAGCTCCTTAAATAGGAAATTACAAGAGGAGATTCCTTATTCCATTCGACTAAGCTAGGACAATCGAACTTTAAATCAAACTCCTACTTCTAACAGACTTCTAACAGAACTTAGTTCCTATCTCTAATAGATAAGTAAGAACAGAACTGGATAATAGATAAGTAAGAACAGAACTGGATAAAGTAAACTAATGGCGAGCTGGCAAGATGAGCTGACGTGGCAAGATAAGCTGCTGTGTGGGCCCCCCTCACTGCTGCTGCCGGCGGCGGTATGTCCTTCCCACGAATGCATCCATAACATTTTCCTTATTAGGGATATTTTTATTCATTTATGACAAATGTCCCCAATGCTGATAGTTGGGGAGATTCTTTTCTTATGCTTAATTTTCAAATTTTTGCAGTCCTTGATAATTTAGCTTAGAACCTTTTTAACTATAACAGTTCCCTATATATTTTTCTTGAAGTCATCCATAAACCCTATGCTAACCAATCAATACCTTCTTGGAATAATGCTTGGGTTATACTCAATCCTGCATCAGAATTATTGAGAAAATATCATGAAGGTTAGATTATAGATCACTTCAGGTACAGGAAGAGTGTCAATTAAGAACTAAGGTATGTGAATGAAAGGTATATGAGGGTTTTTTAGGAACAAGTCATCTAATAAGTTGACAAATAAGTCAAAGTTGGAATTAATGACTTGCTACTTTTATAGAATGTGGTATAGATAATTATATATGTATTTGTTGGGGTGGGGGTGAAGGTTGTAGACTATAGTATCTTTACAGAATACATGTTTATACAATGATACATTCTTTTTTCCACTTGTTTTACAACAGCCATAAAATATTTTGGGTCTTTCTTTTCCTAATTGTATCATATCTATGTATTAAAAAACTTGTACCATATTAAATCAAACACCTATTCTGCTCACCAGGTTCAAAACAGGAGCCAACAAATTAGTGATCAAGCACTTGTAATATTTTTTCCCCTGCCTTTTATCATTTCATTTGTTCAGTATTCATGCCTTGGAACTTATTAGGCATGCTAATTTTGTACAGGTTCGCTGTGAATATAGCATGGCTAACTTCAGCACTGGAGATCGCATGAGGAAACCAAAGGGTGACAGGTCAACCCCTCTCTTTGTATAGTTAGAGTATTCAATATGTCCTCCATTCCTTGTTAGAAGAATATTTGTTTGTATGTTCCAACAACTCTTTTAATTGACTTAAGATGCTTCGGAGGGTCAAGATTAATGATATGGAGTCTAGCAAGCAGGCCCAAGCCCATACTTCTCAGCCTGCATAGACTAGAGATTTTCCCCACCCATCAAATACATTTATATTCAGAAGACATGTAGGCCAAGTTAGTTTGGCCTCATGCTTGTATTGTGTGTTTCATGATGAAAACCATATATAAGCAAGTTCAAATGAAGAAAAGGAGAAATCTCTTCTTCCCTCACAATTTCTTTCCCCTCACTTCTCTCTTCTTCAATCTTCTAGAGGTAGGGTTCCCTCAAAAATCTTAACTGGTGAGAGATGTAGGTCTGACGAGAATGTAGGTTTTGCTACAACTGTGACAAGTTCTCCCTTGGTCATAGATGTAAGAAGCATCAACTGTTCTTGTTGGAAATTGAGGATGATGTCAAGGGAATGACTCCAAAAGAGTGCCATGAATTGGAGCGACAAGAGGAGGTGCCAGAGATCTCATTATAGGTCTTCACTGGTCTGCCCACCCTTCAAACAACGAGAATCGAAGGTATACAAAAAGTTACCCAGTTTCTATTTTGGTAGATAGTGGGAGTACTTTAAATTTCATTGCCAAGTTGATGGTTCAAACAGCTAGAGTTGAGGGTTTTACTACTTGACCCATTTTCAGTCCTTGTGGTAAATGGTAGTTAGTTGGGGTTTAGGGTTTAACTATTGACACTATTGTGGAATCAACCTCTCTCTGCTGCCCTAGGCACTGTCATGTAAAAAATTGAGAAGCAGGACATAATCGAGCAGGCAAAGTAGGTGGAACAAGTCGGTTAGACACTTGAGTAGGCAATGGAGTTGGAACAAGAAGTGGTATGGATTGCTCATTTCCTCCCCCAAAACACTTCCCTTGAGAAAGACTCCCTGAAAAGAAAGGTGTGGACTCAAAGAAAGTGACTGTAGTTATGGTTCCTGCCCCAAAAGGGTCACTAGCACCTACTCCACCTAGTCCCATTTCACCTGTGGACTTGTATTCAACTCCACTGCCCTCCATAATTCCCAGAATGGCTTAGGAAATCAACTGTAGATGAGGGAAAATAGATTTACCCCATTTAGAGGTTCAACCATCCTTCTGGTACCCAAAAACTTCACCTACAAAGATTCCTTTCTCTGTGGAGTAGGTAGAAAAAGGAGAAAAGGCTTCTGCTCCCTTTGAAGACCTCAGAAAACTCTAGAATTTGAACTGTCCTCTTCAGAAGTCACCAAGAAATCCAAAAAATCTAGAGCACCCCTTCCTAGGTCAAAATTGAAGAGTCCTACTGCAATCAATACTTTTCCTCTAGTTCCTAATTTTGATGATCAACCCAAGATCTGACATAAAGGGTTCTGGATCCACCAAAAAATTCAAGAACTGGGCACTTTTGGAGTCTTTGATCAGTTCTCTAACTCACCATGTAGTTGGCTGGTTTAGGGCTGCATGATGGAAGACACAAAAAGTTCCAAAAAAACTGCTCCGATATGAAGTAGAAAAGAAAAAAAAACTAGTCTGATTTGATAACAATGAGAAAGAAGAGAGAAAGAGAGAGTTCTTAGTGAGAAGAGAAGAATAGAAAGAAAATAAGAGATAGATATGGATAATTAAATCCGAAGAAGAGAAAGCAATTTAATTTTTTTTTTGTATTTTTAAAAATTAAAGCAAGGTTGGATAAAATCCGGATCTTTTTTTTTTAAAGTAAGAATTAAAGCAGGGTTGGATTAAATCGGAATCTGATCCTAGTCTGTTAGGATCCGAATTTGAAACCAATAATCGGATTGGATTTGGATTTACTGAACATAGATATGGATATAAGGAATACACAACTTTTTCATCATGATTCACATGGCGAGTTCATGGACACATCTGAAATTCTGATGACTTTGTTTTTGGGAAATTCCGAGGCACTCAGGATTTGCTACCCACACCGATGCATATGGCTCCAGTCTCCCAAATTTTGGTAAAAAAACTGGGGCCCACATGATTCAATAGATCGACAGCAGTCAAATCATCAGTTTCAAATACGGGTTTGCTCAATCTGCATTTATCGGTTCTGTCCACCTCTAACTCATGCACCAGAAAAGTCGACTGATTCACCTAGAGGAGTCTGGAGTCATGGTGTCATTTAACTGGTTCAACCACCCGATCTATCTAATTTTTTTTTGATAAATGACCACCCGATCCATCTAATTTGATAGAATACCAATCAAACATCTCTTTGTATGAGAGGTGATCCTCACTTTTCGTGGTGTTCGTACATAGAGCTGTTGTATCCACTGATTTTGATACATTCATCATCCATAATTATAAACTAATCAAACATCTTTGGGCATGCACATAGAAATTTACAGTTCTTTTGTATTTCACTCTACGGATATCTGAATCCAAATAAAATACTAATAGAAAGTTTTTTTTTTGGTAAATAAATAAATAATTGGAGATGAAAACACCGAGATAGATACGTGGCAGTTCCCTATTTAATGTACATCGTTTCATTTCTTCTCTGGTGCTTTTTGAAATTTAAAAGACTTATTTGGGAGAACTGTCATTATACCATTAATAGGGGTAAAGAATGGAAAAGAAAAAATCGATCATGGACGAAAAGCGTAAGAGCGTGAAACTGTTATTTTTATTATAGGTATATGGATAAGCAATAAACAAGTAAAATAGTGAAGAAACATGAGAATTTCCAATTACTTTATTAAAACATGTTAAACACATAAACTATCAATTATCCTTCACATAAAATTCGAAATATTATTACATTGAACACCTAATACATAAGTGCCTTCCAATAATATGCAGGTTGGGGAGGGTCAGGTTTAGCCTAATACCATACCCTACTCGTACTTGTACGGGTTGTGAAATCCTAAAACCCATCCACACCCCAAAATCCATTTCCAAGGGAAAAAACCCTCTCTCCATTGCGGCAGTTACCCATCGGGTAGGGTAGAAATTGCCATTCCTAATAGGAAGACATGTAGGCCAAGTAGTTATGACCTCCTGCTTGTATTGTGTGTTCCATGATGTAAACCATATATAAGCAAGTTCAAATGAGCAAAAGGAGAGATCTGCTTTTTCCTCCCAACTTCTCTCCACTCTCTTGCCCTCTCTTCTTCCATCTTTAGGAGGTTGGTTTTCCTCAAAGTAACCCTAGGTAAGTAGGTTCTCACCATAGACCTTCTATAACCAGAGAGGAGGAAAATCAATAGGCAAGTAGGAGAGATCCATTATTAGTTAATATTTGTTTGTTAACCTAGGAAATGGATGTTTGTATTTTGGTTTTCTCAATTACAGTGAAGCTTTTATGACTGCAAATGGATGTTTCTATTTTGGTTACCACTGTGTATGGGCCCACTGAGTCCTCTCTGAAACCTTTGTTGTGGGAGGAATTAAATGAGCTAAGAAGCAGATGGTCTGGACCTTGGCCAATTAGGGGAGACTCTAATGTAACTTCAAAACCTGAAGACAGGCAGGGGGAGTGCAGGTATGATAGATGATGGAGATTGGTTCAGGCATTATAAGACCTGTTCTCATTAGAAGGCGATGAACAAACAGGTTCTGATTTGGCATGGGGAAGACTCTTGGGACTTGGACTGATCTGATCAGGGGCATTTTTGTTATTTTGACCAGTCCCATGTGGGCTTGGGCTATAGCACCTTGTTCCTCTAGTTTAGTAGCGCTTCTCTTTCAATTTTTTAGTTTATTTGCAGTACTAGGTAGACAATTATTATGCTGCTTGATGCACAAGACAAAGAATGGTTTTTTTGTAATTATGGTGAACAGTATTCTGGGCCACACAAGTCACTCTATAAATAGATATATTCTCTTCCTTTTGAAGGTAATAAAGTTTTCTTTAGATCTCTTTGGAACTTTTCTGTATGGAGTGATTCCTTTAAACCCTAGAGTGATTCTAGGACCCTCGTAGTGGTTCCTTGGGATTTCTCTCTCTTTTCTCTTCCTCTATCCTTTCTCCGCCTCCTCCTCCTCTCTCTCTCTCTCTCTTCCTCTCTCTTTCTATGTTGTGATGGTTTGTTCTGGCCCTACTACATCAGTTTTGGTATTAGAGCATCAGGTTTCAAATGGCTCATTACCATAATAGAAACATGAGAGGAAGATTAAGTGAACAAGCTAAAGAAGAGTTGTTGCTTGCACTTATTAATGGAGTAGACATCCTAGAAGTTCAAGTTAAATTGTTGATGGAAGACCAATCGAAGAAAAACAGCACTGGTGTTCCACATGGAGGAGCTGAAGTAGAGTGTTCTAACACCAATATACTTGCTTGTCCACAAGTGAACCACCAAGGACTGCCATCAAGCCCCTAAGGGCTCGAACTCTACAAACTCAAGGTACTTTAAATGATTTATATGACAAATTGGTGGAGCCTTCTAAGACTAAAGGAATACTTTGATTGATTCGACATGTTAGATAAGAGACAAGTTAGATTTGCTAAACTTAAAATGTAGAAAATGCAAAAGTATGGTGGAGTGTAGAGAAAAGATTACAGAATATGGGTAAGCATCCTATCACTCGTTAGGAAGGTATGAAGCATTAATTAGAGGAGAAATATTTGCCTAATGACTTCCAAGATGCTCTTCATGATGAGATGATGACATTGAGGCATGACAACTTATCTGTGTCTGAGTACATTTAAAAGTTTGACAAGCTTACTATTAGATGTCAGTCTATAGAAAGTGAGAAGCAAAAATTAACCCAATTTTGGAATGGTTTAGAGGCTGATATTCAAAGGGAAATGATGACTACACGAGTTTATGATATAGATGATGCTTTTCAGATGGCTCTTAAAATAGAGAAGAGCTTGAAGCAAGTTAATAGTAGGAGGTTTGGCATTCAAGATGGGGAGGCAGCAGCACATAAGAGTTTAGATGAGGATAAAGC